TATTTCTGACTGGAAGCGGTACCAGAACTGCTTGCAGGGATTTCCACTTTGCCTTTGAAAAGATGTGCATATTGTTGGTAGAAAAATAGCTGCTTGGGAGGATAGTTCACATACGTTAGGGGACAGGGAGGGGAATGGGCCCCACGAGGCTGCTGCAGTGATGAGTACAAGAGTTCAGCTTTGGCTGTAAGGCTCAGTCACTTTGAAACGGGGATCTTCAGCTGTTCTTATGGGGAATGTTGTGATGTGAGTTGCAATTGCTGCTGCTCAGGAGGACATTTCCAGCCCTGGGTCTGAGCTTTCACACAACACATGGGCCTTATGCTGCTTATGCCTTGTCATCCCAGGGAGCTGTCAGACTTGTTCCTTGCATGTGGGGATTCTCCAGGTGAGACTTAATGGAGGGAAGCATTTTGTTGATTCTTAAGGCAGTGATTGTTTGTGACACCGAGGAATGTGATGCTACCTTGAAATATGAACTCACCATCAGCTGGGAGCATCAGTCAATAAAAGATCTGGCACTTAAAATCCATTCTGCTCACAGTCTGTATTTTGCAGCCAGCTGTTAGTGAAGCCCTCAGCTCCCGTGATGATGCTCCTGGGGATGGCATCTGCAGAGGGGGGCATGGAGGCCACAGAGAGGGGCTCCAGCCCCCTGCCCCTCTGCCCATGGACATTGTGGTCCCCTCAAAGCCAGCACGGAGCAGACATCTCCAACAGGGTTAACTGCCTGGGACAGCCTGGGACAGCCAGGGACAGCTGTGAGCTATGGACTGGTAATGCAGAAACTTGTTTGCTCATAGTCTGTGGGCTGAGTTTTAGAACTAAGCCAAGAGTGCTCTGATTGTAGCCTGAACTACTGATATAAATGGTGGAAGGAATGGATGTCTGTAGTATATACACATGCAGACATTTTTCTTCCTGGTACACCAAGAGTTTTAAACCAAATTAGTACAAAAGCGATTTACTTAAGAAAAAGTTAGGCGTGTTGCACTGGAAATATGACTGGTTATACTACTTTACCCCAAAATAATATATTTGATATCTTTGGGTGTCAAGTGAAGCCTTTCTAAACAGTGACATGGTTTTGTGACCGTCTTGGCCAGGTTTGTTCTTTCTGCTTGATGAACTATGGACAGAGAAGTGGATCTCCAAGGAGTGAATTTGTTTGCTCTTTGGAAATGTGTGTGGAAGGGACAGCAGCATATGGACTTGGCATGCCCCAGGCATGGCTGCAGGAGCCTGGGAACATTTCGTGCCTGCAGCAAGTGTAGGAGAAGGGAGGAGGAGTTTGGAGCAAGTGACTGCAGTGAGCTGTGTGGTGATGGCAGTGAGTTACCCTCTGTGAGCAGGAGCAGCAGGGGGTCCAGCCCTGACCTAGTCTTCATCACAGCTGAGGTGAGGAGCAGGCCTTGTACCATGTCCCTTCCTTGCCTCATGGGTCACAGCAGAACTGGGAGATTCTCATAAAGAGCCACAGGCAACATCTGGACCAGAGAGTGCAGATGAAATTGCTGGCCACAGCAAACTCAAGCCAGGTGCTGAAGGAAGGAACAGAAGATGGGCTGGCTTTGGAAGCACAGCTCTGTCAGCAGAGCCTTCAGTTGTGAGTGGAGGCAGAAGCATGCTATGGCTTTTCCCAAAGTACCACCATCAGATGCTTTTATGGATCAGAAACTCCAAATGTCATACAAAACAATGAACTAAAAATGAGACCATAGAACTCTTGCACAAATTGCAGATGAGCACAGCACAACCAGACGGGCACACACAGCACACATGCACAGAAAGCCTGAAAGAGGCTGTACGTGGGCAAATCCTGCACAGCAAGTCTTCAACACATTGTCTAAGGCAGAGCAATTGCTGCCTGCAGTTGTAATGGCAGTGCATTTGGTCTCTCACTATGAATCTTGGACAACAACCCATTCAACTTGAAAATAACATCTACAGTTAAATAGGGTGTGTTTTTCTGTGCCCCAAATGTGTGATGCATCCCAGGGAGGTCCAGTGAAAGGTTCACATGCCTTGGTGTTATTGCCCACCTTAACAGAAGGTGTTCCAATTCACTTACAAGAAGTACTGATAGGGCTGGGCCTGTGTCCCACTCTGACATCCTGAGCAGATGCTTTTAGTGCCTCACTTTTTGATGTTGGTATCTCCCTCTTTTGCTTGGAGCAGCAGCAGCAGTGGTCAGGCATCACTGCCAGACATAGCTGCATGAAGGTCCGGGTGACACCGCGCCATTGCCTCTCACGGTTTCTGTTGGATGGTGTCTTGTGTGTGTTCATGCACTGGTGATGGTTCCCACGCCCTGACAATATCACATCCCATTTTTGTGACTGATGCTGATTTGCAGATACACAGTCTCTTCCCAGACCTATGCCTGCCCCAGTAACCGCTGGGAACCCCACAAGCCCTGGCAGAGGTGCCAGGCTACCACAGCGCTTGCTCATGGAGCAGGGAGAAGCATGAATGGGAGCAGATTTTAGGTTTATTTTAGTCAAGAAAATTCAGGGATGTTAATTGCTGAGCTGTCATCAATTTCTGTGACTTTGCAGAACCCAATTAGCCTCTAATTTTAGTTTCATGCTAATGCCATTGTCAGCTCTTTCTGTACCACAGGTGAAGCAGCTTTAGATGTGGCTCCACAGCTGCTTTATGTGGGTGGCTGCTTCCTAGAACCTGACACCCAGCAGGGAAATTGAGGCAGCATTTGGAAATGCTTTGAAAGGCCCTGGGGTTTTTATATGTTTTTTTTTTTTTTTTAATTGCTGTCCCACTGCTGCCACACACACGGCTCATGTGGGCGCCAGGCCTCATGAGGCACAATTTCCCCTTGGCTGACACCCCACCTGGCAAAAGAAAAGGCTCAGCACCGTCCTGTTGGGGGTCTGAAGGGGGGAGGCTGCTAATTGCAGGATGCCATAGACATGCACCCTGCAAGCAGCAAGGAAGCACTGGAGTGTTCTGTAGGCAGTGGCCACCTGTGGCTTTCTGGGAGACACTAGGAAGCGTGGTCAGCTCTGTGCCACTTGTGCTGGCATGGTCTGAGTCAGCCGGGTGCTCTGAGCTGCAGCAGCACTGAGCTCAGCCTGCCCAGGATTCCTTGGCGCTGGCAGCAGTGGGAATTCCAGCTATGGCTGCACTCTGCAGCATTCTTCTGCTTGCAGGTGTTTCTGCACAGCTCTGCTCTCCCCATGTTGTTCCTCATGCATCTTGTACAGGGGTAAAAGTGGTGCCTGACAGAGCAGCCTGGGCTGCCCGGAAACACCTGGGCACAGTTGGGTTTGGAGCACAGTGGGGAGGTTGGTTCTTTTCTGGAGAATACCAAACACAGATGGGAACAAATGGGAGATGAGTGCCAACATCTGTACCAGGAGCTCAGCACTTTTATTTAATGGAGCCACGGCATGGGAAAAATGTCCATAGGATGTAGAAGTTTATTTAAACATGTATTTAATGTTAATGAGCGGACCCACAACACAAGCTTTCTGACTTGGAAGCCAGTTGCTGACATAGAGCAGCTGAGCTTGATTTGAAGATAATTGTTGTTCTCCAGTGGATTTGCAGGTGCAACACAGTGACACGTTAACTGTTTGAGCTTCCCTGTTGTGCTCTCAGCCATCCTGGAGGATACAGAAAGGCTGGAGGATGACTGGAATGCCATAGTGAGTTTTCCACAAAGAAACTCTGAGAAGCTTCAGAAATCTCCACTGGCTCATGCTGCTTCTGAGACTGTCCAAGCTGATGGTTACAGCTCCTTCTGATGGTTTGAAGGCTTTGTTTTCCAGCAGAAGAGCTTTTCTGGGCATTATTTGTGCTGGACTGACCTTCAAATAAAACTAAGACCTGGCAACAGAGTACGTATGACAGCCCTGTCAAGGAATGGATAATCTCCCGTCTTTAAATACACTTTCTATTTATGTTGGCAGTGTACAGGCATCTCAGGATTTTACCTGCTACCCCAGACTTACATTGCAAAAGTGCCACCAAGGAAACTTCTCTGCATCTCTGTTTCTATTTCAAAACTTCTTAACTGAATAATGTGAGTTGGCAGATACATCACTGCCTGTTGAAGCTCACGGCCGAAGAATGTTCAAAAGGAAAAGAAAATGTTTGGAAAATATTTTTTTACTATCAAACATACCTGGACATTGTATCAACTGAGGGGATATACCAGTTGTTCCTGCAGATTAATTTTTCATGGTTAGTCTATTTTTCAGATTTATCAGAATGTTTCAGTTCATACCTCAGACACCTCAATCTCTGCAAGTGTCGGGTTCTCCTGAAGGGCCAGCAGCTCTGTGTGCCCCTAGATCAGCTGGCAAACATCTGCCTTGTGTTGGGAGAAACATGATCTTCCCATGGCTTGGACCCGTGGAAGGGGGTGGGAACACTATGAAACTACTGCTTAAACCAAGACGTAATCTAGCATTTCAGAATAAATAAGCAAAATATACAATGAAATAAGTTGCCTGCGTTTTCTGAGAAAAAAAAAGGATGATCATTTTCAGGAAAAAACGGTGCTTTTCCACAGCCTTTTGTGGAAGCTGCTGTGGATGCCAGGTCAGTTGTTACCTGTGGGATTGGCTGCTGGGGACTGGGCCACAGAGGGTTGGTGGAGACTGCCTTGGTTTTGCCATCTGACTCCAGATCTGGCTTCTGGCTTTCTCTGACACTGCCAGTGCAATCAACAGGGCTTGGCTGGAGTTAATTGAATTAAATGGGACACTTGCCAGGGACACCAGTTATCTCCTGCAGTCATTAGCACAAGAAGGGTGTAAGGATTAGCTCTTGTTTGCTGTCTCAGGTGTTAGTGGTAATACCAGCTGACATGTTAAGGTCTTGTCAGCAGCAGCATGTTCTGGAAGAGACAGCAGCCTCTTCAGCTGATAATACTTGTATCATTTCTTTTAAATGCAGGTATTCTTCATTGGAGTAATGTTTTTTAGTCCTTGCTTTGAATAGTTTAATGAGTTTAATTTCATCTCTCATTTCAGGGGGTCAGCAAACGTGTAAGACAGGTACACTCACTTCTGACTGACGACACTTCCCAAAGACTCGCTCTCCAGCCCTGGGAGCCTGCTTCACCAGCCCTGGGAGTATGGCCATGGTGTGGGTGAGTGCTGCAGAGGAGTCACTGGTTCTGGGTGTTGCTGGTATCACATGAGCTCTGCAGCGGGGGAGGAAGGACCTGAGCTTTTGATTTCTGAAGGATATTGCTCTGATAAATAAAGAAAATATTTAACTACTGCAGGAAAGTGTGGAGATTTGCTCTTTGGTATTCTGGATGAGACCTTCTGGTCCTGAAGGTCTTTACAATGACTAAGAAAGCAGTGGGCACATGCCCATGACTCATCTGCAGTGGTACCCACATTCCCGTTCCGTGTGCCAACGTCCCAGCCAAAGCAGTGCCTGTGTCCCATCTGTGACAGTGCCCGCTTCCCTTGGGCCCACGTTCCCCATGCCCATGTCCCACCCACCAAATGTGGTGCATCCTCTTGCTGGCTCACCTGGAAGTGAAGCGCTGCTGCTTTCTGGGGATGGGGAGCAGTAATTAACATTAATTAACAAGCAAAACTGGTGCTGAAGTGCCTCAAGCCCCGCTGAGCTCAGATATTTCTCCCATCCACAGTGCGTGGGGGGGCTTGCAGCTTCTGCAGAGGGGCTTTGAGGGGTGCCTGGGCAGCAGAGCAGCCATCCCTGACCAGGGATGAAGGGCTCCAGCCCTTCTGGATGTTGCCACATGAGGCCTCTGGGTGCGTGTTGCCCTGTGCAGGGCTGGCAGGGAGGTTCTGCAGAGCTGCAGGGGCTGGGCCCTCGGTGGGTGAGAACAGCCAGCGCAGCAAACCTCGACCTTGGCTCATTCTTGCATTCATGCGCCTATAGCCCCCTTGCCACAGGAAGGCTCTGTGGTGGCGCTGCCAGTCCACATTCCACACAGCCCCTCTGCACGTCTGGCTGCTGGGAAAGGCCCCATTTTAAACTCTCTTTGGGCGGTCTGAAAAGTTGCTGAACTTTCAAACTAAGTTCTTGTGATTGAATATTTATTGTTGAACTCAGCATGAAATATAAAACAAAGCCTAAAACTAGGGATGCTTTTGATTTTAGTGTAAATGCTGACAGCATTTTTAATTTATGAAGTATTTTAGTAGTGAATGCTTAAAATGATTCTAGTGTTTTGTGTCCTCAGCTGCTTTTCTCTCTGCTGTGGTTAGCCCTAGAGTCTGCGTTGGAATGAGTAACATGCCGAGATCAGAGACTCACGACAAGCTCAGCCTAGAGTGATTGAAGACACGTTAGTGTAGGGTTTTCTGGCAGTGCCAGGGGGTCAGAGCTGCTTTATGGCCCCGTTACACGTCAGAAGAGCGGCTGAGGCGTTCCTTTGTGCTCACAAGACTGTAACGAGGTCAGCTTTCACCTGGTTGGAGCTTGCCAAGATCACCAATTTGTGTCCATTCTGCCATTGGAAAATTGTTCATTTTCATGGATAAGTCAGAATTAATGTTGTGTGGCGGTGAGAGTACAGTTCAGTGCAGGGTCAGTGAGGTGCTGACCAGCACTCTGGGGCTGCTGGCCATGACCTTGGCACAGACTGCCAGGGCCAGTGCTGGTGCCAGAGCACAGCTGTTAACATCTCCTATACTCTGCAGTAGTATCAAGAAATACAAATATACAGGACTTAGGCAAATCCAAAAATCCACAAAATGCCTTTTGATCTCTTTAACAGAGTCACATCAATGTTTCTTTCCTGTAAAATATAATGGGGCTTTGCTGCTTCCACAGTGAAGTGCATTCCAAACACTAACTGCAATAACTAGTAAAGAATTATGAGGCATGGGAGCAGAGCTGGACTCCTGCTCTCCTGCAGCAAAGGTTGCAGCTCTGCAGGTTGGCTCTGATGCACTTGCACTGCACAACCATCACTTTCTCAAACAGATATGTCACTTACGTTTTCCTTAATTAAAATTTCAGCTATTCCTGCCTCTTCACATGCCTCTCTGCACGTGTCTGACTGTGAGCGCTGCCATGTTTGGAGCTGTGTGGTGGCTGTTGTCAGAACCTAGGAATGCAGCCTCGGGAACAGAACCCTGCACAGGCAAACTTGGCAGAACCTGGGCAGTGTCTGCAGCAGCAGTTAGGAATCTGGGACTGGGAGCTGACTGTACTTGCATTCCCAGGAGGACAAATCAGGACCTTGATTGCCAGGTTTGCAACTTTAAAAAAGCTTTTACTTTAATGAATGTACACCCTAAGTGTCATTGTTCTCTTCTCCATTCTGGGTTATTTTTCAGAAAACAAGATCAGTTTAGGAAATTTAAATCTCTTAGAAATTTTATCTAGAGAAGTCTCTCTGTGCTTCCACTCTTAGTATAAACCAAATTTATTTACTTCTGTAGTTGAAATTGCATTACTAAAGAACATAAAATTTCTTTAGTGTTGCTTAATATTTATTGTCTGGTTTTGAATAGAAATTTGGATTATGTGACCATCTTGTGGTTGTAACACTTGTCAGATAATTTAAATTAATGTTTTAGTTTCTTATTTATTATCACAAAGTTTATTGGTTTGTTAGGAATAGTACCCAGATTTATGATGCTGAGAAGGTAAAGCTGCAGCGTGAGCCCACCTGGAATCCTTGTCATAGGAGAACAGCACCAGGAGCAACCACGGACAGGCAGGTTCACCAGCACTCCAGTGCTCTGTGTGTTTTTGTGTCTGTTTGTGTGTCTCATGATTTTCAGGTTGTTTTTCATATCCCATTGCAAATGAGAAGTCAGCCTTTTTCAGACAAGTGTAGAATCTAATGGGCAGTGTGTTTGAAAACCTCAGCTGTTCCCAGGACACAGGTGAATGATACAAACGTGGCACAACAGGTGACACATGGAGATGGGCATCTTGGAAAGAAAACATCAAAGGGACCACACAGTGATCAGGGAGGGCAATTCACAGGGCCAGGGAGCTGGAGATGTGTGTAAAGCCACCCTGTTCTTCACATAGTCCCAGCAAGCTTCAGTTCACAAAGAAAGTAGCTGGAAAAATTACCCAGAAATAGATGACCTTCCAAAAGGCCTCTAATATACAATTACCTGATGTTCACTGAAGTGGTTCACGTGCTTCCCACTCTAAATGATTTTCTAGGTTCACCCATGTGTGAAAAGGGGTCTGATTTTATGGAGGAGGGCAATGGAGGAAAGAAACTTCAGACAGAAGAAAAATACGCCAGGGAATTTTACTAGTTGTTTGCTTCAAGGGAAAAAAAGGGCAAATAGATGCAGCCACCTCAAAGTCACCTTTTGACTTTGACCTTTAAAAGAAAGAAGCATGGGAGAAGGCTCAGGTATTGGCAGCACTTGACAGAAGGTGTTCCGTGGAGATAGGTAGGAAATTTAGGATCCAGTGGAATTTGCTTTCTTAGCCAGATGACAAGTTCTTTTTTTCCCTGCAGTACAACATAATTATTACGACCCCTGTTTTCCTTGCTGTCTTTTCTTTCCTTCTGCCCTGGGTCATCTGGCACAGGAGATCCTTGCCTGTGCTCATGACAGGGCTGGCCATGCTGCTCTGCAGAGTTTCAGCTCTGATCCTGGACCAAAACAAGTGAATTATCTGGGGCTGCAATCTATAGTGGGCTTTAGGTGAAATACATTTTCAAGGAAATTATTTCTGTGGTTGGCACAAAAGTGCCTCTCTCCTGCACCTTTCCTGTGGCAGCTGTGCCCAGGTGCTCAGAGCAGTCTGGCTTCAATAGCTCAGTGCTCTCTTCACTGCCCCAACCCCCAGAAACAAAGGGGGAAGGGGGCAGAGACCACCCCCCCGTGGGAAAACAGCATTCAAAAACCCAAAGACTTCTTGAAACCAGGGAATGGCATTTCCACATATGATGAGAGAGCACAGTGGGCAATAGAAACTATGTTTGTATGGAAGAAAATTATTTTATATAACCTTGGAATGTAAACATTTTGATGAACAAAAGCAAGTGACAGTCCCTTCCCCCATCTGCATTATCTGACAAAACAAACAAAGTCCCTGAGACAGGTCAGACAGACAAGAGCATTAAAAAAATGGCACTTGTTGCACTGAAGCACTTTTCATTTGGTCAAGTATCTAAGTATCTTTGTGCGGAAAAAAACCCAAAGTTGAGCTCTGGATCCAAAGCATTAGACTTGCAATTCCACTGAATTTTGTGACTTTGGAAATGTTCTATTGTTTTTCAGTACGAGCTCATGAACCTGGAATGAAATTGTCCTTTGGGGACAAAACAAAATAGATGAAAAATAAATACTCATGTCAGGTCTGGAAACCAAGGGAGTTCTGAGCCACGGTCTTTAATATGTTTCTTTTCCATCAAGTTCAGGAGTGGCTTTGAGCAGGATTTGCTGCAGTTGTGGGAGACAGGAAAGAAACATATTAAAAATAAAAGAAGAACCCTGAATAAGATTTTTCAAAAAGCCATTTATATCTCCTATAAGACATCCAGATGCAAAAGTGAATGGTGAGTCAGGAGTGCACTCAGGCACACAGTTCCAGCAGCAGCTCCCAGGCTCCTCTGATTGTGGCTCTGCTGGAAGGCAGGTCAGCTTGAGCTCACAGCAGCATCATTGTGGGATGATGTGGAGGTCCTCATGCTCCTGCCTCCTCCTTTTGGAGGCTACACAATGTGCACACATTGTGTTCCTGAATTCATGCCTCTTGTGTCGATTTGTTTGTCTGGTCCTTAAATTTCTGTGTTCATCTCCAGTGCCCAGAGCTCTGCCAAGTCTCCTGCAGCTTGCTGAGACCATGGGCAGGTGCCTCAGCTCCCCACAGCGACTGTGCCCACGGCTCTGCTGCCTCTGATCCCGAGGGGCTGAGGAGCTGCCACCAGGGTGTGAGGAGTGCAGCCACACACAGCTGCACTCCCCATGCTTGGAGGGCAGGGTGCTGACAAGCTAACCATGGCAGAGAGACTGAAAGATGGAGACTTTCTCCTGGAGCCTGCTTTTAACTCTCCATGGCCCTGCTTGGGAATGGGCTGTAGTCACTACATGCCTTTAGCTTGAACTTGCACTTCATCAGTCTGGGAGGAAGAATGGAAGAAATGTTCTGAGAGAAAATTCCATTTATGTCTTCTGCCACCTGCTACTGGCATATGTGAGCTGCTGCATGCCAGTAGCTTATGGCAAAGATAACATCAGTGTGGAGAAAATTGTGCGGTGCTGAAAATGAGACTCATGTTCCAGATGACCCGATAGCTCAGTGCCCGCTGGGGCCAG